CCTATTCTGTAGGTAGCTAAGAACGGAGTGTCATAGTCGAATGGGATAATGATGAGGCAGAGGAGGCAATTCTTGCTGTAGAACCTCTAGTGACGTCTTTTCTAGAGGCTATTCTTTTCCCGACTCATACTAGGTAGTATCCTTAGTAGCAGAGATCTCTTAAGTCTGCCTTTCTGTTTCTAAGGGCAGTCGCAAGCGCGGTGGCAATGGAAGCACTTGCCTAGCTAAGCAACTCCTTCTTAGGATCCTAGTGAAGGGGGCGGTAAAGCTTCTTGTGTTGTGGCACAATTCCTTTATTAACAGTTAGAACAGGTGGGTTCTAGCCCCTTGGCTTCATTCTCTTCTCTTTCTCGAGGATTCTCTGTAGATTCTGATCAACAAGCATGCATTTCTTAGCAAACCCGTATAGGGTAATAGTTCTTACTTTAGCAACCAAGGCTTTCTACAGGCTTTGGTTGATCTTGAATCGGAGGTCGTCGAGCAAGGTCTACTCTGAGTAATCCAGCTCTGCTATAAGTCTCTAGAATTCAACCTAGAAGGTTGCAAAGGTATTCTTGCCTTGGTATAGCTAGCGGTACTCAGTTTGTGCAGTATGTCTCCTGTTAGGGTTGCTAAACACTTTCTTAAGGAGTTGGAGGATTACTTCTGCTGACTGAAGCATGTTTGGTGAGGTAATGCAAAGCCTTAGGTTCACATGGCGAACTACGAGTCCTCCTAGTCTGCTTTGTAGGTAACTCATCTACATCTTGTCGTTTGGGAAGTGATCAGTGTTGGCTTCTAGCTTCAGTCAGATCTTCACAACCTAGTCTTCAAAAGCTGGTTCAATCCCATCTGTAAGGACAGGAGGATCTAAAATGCAAGCAGACAGGCGAGGTCCTGCATTGCGAGTAGGGGCTGTGTTTTCAAGATATTTCTAAACGCTTTGCAGTGTAGTGATCTTTTCATCCTTGTCGTGGATTTCTTCTTAGAGCTGTAGAATAGCATCATTTTGCTCTACGATGGTAGTATCAGAAGCTTGACTAATGAGGAGGTAGTCCTTCATAATGGCTTTCAACATAGACTAAGCATATTCCTGGCTGCTAGGCTGTTAGAATTCAGTGTAGGTGTTGACATTCCAAGTCCTTGTCTAGTAGCCGTTTGAAAGTATAGACTGGCGTCTTTCTTGAGCTGTTTTGCTTATTTTCTTGAAATCTTCTTAGGCTTCACGGAAGTCATCCTAAATTTTATCTTTCTTCTTAGACTCATCTGCTAGGGTTGTTTTCTCATTTATAGACTCATAGTCTTCTAGGTTTCGGTTAGCCATCTTGGCTTTTTCTTTGGCAGTGTATGCCATAGCAGCTTTCCTATTTTTTTAATTTTCGTATTCAGTAGATCAGACTTGTATCGCCAAAGGCCCTATTTTGCAGTTTGTCGACTATAGGAGCCACGTAAGATGTAAGGATGCCTCTGCCCTCAGTAACGGAAGGGATCTGAGTCGGACAGGTTACGGTCACGTGGGGAGAGTTAGGGCAGGTTAGCCGAGTCGGACCCGTTTGGGTACTTAAGGGGATTGACCCAACGGGGTTCCTCGCATCATCTTTTTTGTATCCTTCATAGTAGACCTATAGGATAGCATCCGTTTAGCCTTCGACTCGCACTCCCATATGCTATTACTGTGAGCTGGGTGCCCTGTGTCCTTACATAAGAGGAGCGCACTTCCCTCACAGCTATATTCCTTGTTGAGGGAGTGTTGTAAAAGATCTGATCTATGAAGTTGGTGATGTTCTGTGGTGTTCTGTTAAGCTGACTACCACAGGAGCCAACTTGAGGTTTCCCCTGCCTCCTCTGTCACGTCAACCTTACGCAAGAAACCTCTGTCTTCTATCGTTTAGAAGTCAGCGTTACAACTATGCGATGGGTAATATCTAAACCTAATTATCCTGCTAGTAGTTGACATAACTCTGTAGGTATTGTTTAAGGGTTTAATTCAGTCTTTCTGTTTAGACATCTGTTTAGGGATGGAAAGCTGTTGATAGCTTATGATTTGTTCCCAAAAGCGCCATTAAAGATTTCCAAAATTTCGAAGTAAGCAGTTTGTCTCTGTCTGAAATGATTTTTTCTAGTAATCTGTAATCGGCTAATATGACTTGAAGAAAGGTATATCCGAGTGCTTTAGCATCACTAGCGTCTAGATATATTACAAATGTCCTATATTTCTTGAGTCTCTCTATGATAACCAGACCATAAGCTAAGCCAGGGACCTAATGCCCTACTAGTACAGGTGCTAGTCAGCTTTAGGCTCACTCCTATCACCCTTAGTAAGCACCACTCTATTAGTTGCTAGAGTCGAGTGGGTCAAAGCTTCTATAGCTAGAAGCGCTTGATTACCTCATCAATATAGCCTTTCTAATCTAGGTATATTCGGCGATTCCTTTGGTCTAAGGTCACTGTGATACTGAGTATTGTTACGACACACATCACAGCTGCTAGCAACTATAGGAACAGGCAGCTATAATAGTCACTAAGGTTACAAGGGATTGCTAAGAACACAGCTGCATATAATGAGGAATAGCCTCACCTTTTTCCTTCCTTTCTTCTTCTTCTCTCTTTAGATTCAATCTAGCTTACTTTACCTAGACTGTCATCATGACCTCTGTGACCATCGTAATAGCAGGAGCAGCCCGAATCCATGATCTAAGCCTTGCTTTAGGTTTAGACGTCACTAACCTAGCAAGTATCAACGCCATAAAGTTCATCAACCACGGCGATCTAGGACGTCTTGGTAGTAGGAGCGGCCTAGATACCAGTAGCATTTGCCTCCTCTAGTAGGATGGTAATAACACCTTTCTACTACTAGGGGTAGTGAGAGGTCTAGTTGACAGCCCTGCTGTCTTTAGCTCTCCTCTCTTCTTCACATTGCAGTCCTAGCGAATATGTCCAGTCTTCCTGTAGTAATAACATATACAGGTGTCTTTCTTAGAGGACTTGCCCCTGCCACCCCGTCTACTCCCTTTGCCCCTTATATTTCTAGTATCCATAGAGGCTTGCTAGGTGGATTTAGTAACAGGCCTTAAAGCCTTGATCTGCTCTTCGATATCAACGAACTAGTCGATGATATCCTGGTAATCTGTGATCCTTGCTGCCCTAACCTTCCTAGAGTCTAAGGGCCTATCTTCTAGCTCTATCACCATCGTGTCGTCTTGGAGTTGACTCAGCATTATGGTGACATCAAACACTGGGGTAGTCGCTAGTAAAAGATAGCTTCTAAAGACCTCATTCTTAGAGTCTAGCTGCTATAGCCTGTCATAGGTGTGCATTCTCTTAAGCTTATCCTAGACCTCTTTGGCTGTCATGAGGCCTATAACCTAGTTGACAATCGACAGGATACAGCTTTCTAGAATGATTCTTCTAGCCTAGTTGTCGTAGAAGAAGGCAAGCTGCTCCTTATAGACAGCTGTGACCTAGACTAGCATCATGACCTCCATGACCATCGTAACAACAGCCACTTGATGTTGCAATTTTTAGACCATTGAAAAAGAGGCTTACAACAGCTCTTTTACATTTAAATAAAGCACAACTCCTATGTGTGCAAAAAGCAGAGTGGCTATCTGCATATATAACAGCACGAGAGTTAGCATTTTCAACTCAAAATATTAGTGTCACTTTACAGATAATTCGTCATGGTTCAAATGGTTGTAGTCCTGCTCCTCTCTATGCTAAAGTGACAAGAAGTTATTGAAGTTGAACAATGGCCTTAAACACCACAACAACATGATATTTTTGATACTGTCTTTCAAAATAGTAGCCCACCTAAATTTACAACACTACGGAAAGCAAATACAGTACTCTCTACTATTCTTGAGCCTGTACAGTGTTAAACACACCTACAAAGCGATATATTCAAAAGTTAGCAGATGCAACAGAGCGACTAAATACACGCAATTTTCTACAACAACGTGATACTAACAATCTACGATTAATTGTTCAAGCTCAGAGAGTATAGCAAAAAGACAAGCGAGTAATTTTAAAGGGTCATTTTCATATTTCTACAAGGGAATTGCAGCTATATTCCGCGGTCCCTTCCTTTTAAGGCTTATCAAGCTCGTATTCGAGCATAAAACCAGTCGATGGCGCTCTAGACTTTCCTGTCAATATGCTCGAACTGGATTTGAGGACCTAATTCTGATAGTTCGGACCAGACAGCTTCTAGATCCAGGACTGTTCGATGTGTTCCAACTCCATTTTTTGTAAGCCGTTATCACTTTCCGGCCTATAGAGCTAGACTGCCATAGCCAAATCGATGGCTTGCTTTGTAGACTCCTTTAGACTGGATATTACTAGCAGGTAGCTTAGGCTCTCACTTTATCGATGTGAGACTTTGGAATCAATTCTCTAGTTCAAAACACGAAGCTTCCTAAGCGTCGCTAGGCTCATAACCTGTTAGAGGAAGGACCGGAATACGGGGACTACATACGAATTGTACGGTGTCTCTAGTGGCTGGAACTCTTCACTTTGGCGTAACAGAACAGAAGGCTTCAAACAGTAAATACGGTATATAGAGTATATAGATCAAATTGAGTTACTACACTATCTACCGAGGGCCTGCCCAAACCCCCTGAGTAGCAGAAGGGTTTGGGCCTGAAACATAATGCGTTGGAGTTCTGAGGCAATCGGCTCACGCCAAGCACCAATTGGGGAGCCTGACGATAACACTGGGAAAAGCTGCCATTCCAGGGCCAAATGCCACCGTATCCCACGGTGCACATCCTCTTTTCCCAACACTGTGGTGCAACCGCAGTCACCGCACTAAAAAATCACCGCGGTAGGCACAGTAAACAAACGCCAGTTAATCAACCTCAAACATACGTCTTGCGCAAAGAAGAGAATATTTGAATGTATTTTGCAGCTATACCTCATCCTTATGTGAACTCTATTCCTGTTGTTCTCAGGCTGCTCGACTAAAATCTCACGCATGGAAAATTGTACAGTCGCAATCCCTCTACCACGTGATCGTAATCCCACCCCTCCACCGCCCGGCAGAAAAGTTCCAATCGCAAGATAACTACAATCGACCCTCACCACCACCACTCCCACCACCACCCAACGATGCCAAAAGAAAACAAACAACGTGGTCGCCGCGGCGAGGGCAAGCGCAAGAGAGAGGCGAATGCGAACGAAGAGCCCGTGGGCAAGCGGCCCGCTCTCGACATTGGCGGCATCTCCTTCGTTGGAGACACCACCGACACCTTCGTCCCACCCCCATTCACAGAAGAAACCGACGGTCGCCCCTTCTACGGCCTCCTCGCCGAGGAAGAACAAGAATACTTTCGACGCGCGGACGAACTGCTCGAGCTCAACGACTTCCCATCCGACGAGGACCGGTCGCTGTTCCTCGCCAACGTCTTCAAGGAGGCAGAGGGCAAGGAACTGAAAATTGCCAACAGCCAGTCTTGTTCCCGGCTGATGGAGAGGCTCATCCTGCTGAGCACACCTGCACAAAAGAAGACGCTGTTCCAAAAGTTCAGTGGACAGTTCCTGCACCTCATCCAGCATCGATTCGCCAGCCATTGCTGTGAGACGCTCTTCATCTATTCTGCGCCTATCGTCACCCAAGAACTCACTGGAGATGAGCCTGCACCATCCGACGAAGTCTACGTGTCGATGGAGAACTCCTTCCTCTACACTCTGAACGAACTCGAAGGACAAATCGGCTTCCTCCTTAACGACCGATTTGCGTCCCACGCCCTTCGCGTCCTCCTCGTCGTCCTCTCCGGAAAACCCCTCGCAAAATCCTCCACAAAAACCCTTCTCCAAAGCCGAAAGAAGGAGAACATCACCACCCCCGGCTTCAAGTCGTCTGCCGAAGAACTCAGCCTGGAAGCACGCGCCGTCCCATCCTCTTTCCAAGACGCTGTCAACAAGTTCATCTCCGACACTTCTGACATTCTCGACGAGACCTCCATTCCGGTTCTGTCCTGCCACGAAACTGCCAACCCCGCTCTTCAACTCCTCCTAGAATTGGAGCTCACGCGCCCGACAAAGACGAAGGATCTCGCCCCAGATGCCTCCGGATCGATACTGAAAAAACTTCTCCCCGACAACATTGAAACGGAGGGCTCCAAGTCCGCAGCATTCGTCAGTGGCCTCATCTACGAGTCCATCGGATCCCGCCTCCTGGAAACGCTCGTCATGTATGCCCCAGGAAAGCTTTTCAAGCAAATCTACCGCTCCACCTTCAAAGATCGCATCGGCGCGTTGGCTCGCAATGAGATTGCCACCTATGTGGTCATCAAAGTCCTCGAGCGCGTTTCCCGCGAAGACCTTGAGGAAGCGGCCACCTCCATCATCCCTCAAATCCCCAACCTCATCGAGCGCTCCCGAACCGCCATCCTCAAGACCCTCCTTGAGCGCACATCCGCACGACGCGCCGAGAAGAGCACTGCTGCAATCACAACCGCGATCGCAGAGGCATACGGCAATGATCCCGCTACTCTCCTCCTAAAGATGACCAACACAACCCCCCAAACCGCCCCAGAAGCCGAAACCGACGATAAAGTCGAACCTCGCCAAGATCTCACCACCCTTCACGGCTCCCTCCTCGCACAAGCCATGCTTGCCATTCCAGGCCTCCCAGCCACTCTCATCCAGGATTCCCTTTTGTGCCTCGACCTCCCCACACTCCTCCACCTTGCCTGCACCACGACGACCTCTCACATCCTCCAGGCGGCTCTGATCCCCACGGACCCATCATCTCCCAGCAATCCGGGCAGCGCCAACAACGCACCGTTCCGCCGCAAGCTAGTCAACATCTTCCTCGCAGACCCAAAGTCGATCGTCACGCTAGCGACGTCAAAGTCGGGATCGCACGCCCTCGACGCGTTCTGGGATGGCACGCAAGGACTCATGATGCTGAAGGAGCGCATCTGCAGTATCCTTGCTGACTCGATGACTCAGCTGCGCGAAGATTGGGTGGGAAGAGTAGTACTAAGGAACTGGATGGTGGAGCTCTTCGTCAGGAGGAAGGTGGAGTGGATTGCAAAGGTCAAGGAGGGAGAAGGGGGTAAGACAGTTACTGTGGCGCAAAAGGAGGACGAAGGTGACGCGGCAGAGGTGAAGAAGCCATTCCCTGCAAAGAAGGGACCAGTTAAAGGAAAAGGCGGAGATGGAAAGTCGGCGATTCAGCTTGCGAGAGAAAAGTTTGCAGCAGGAAAAACAAAGGGGGAAATGAAAGTTGTGCGTGGCAAGGGGACGGGTGCGAATGCTGGGATGATCAAGAGTAGATAGACTGGCAGTTATACCTATGAAGTCAATGTTTTCATATTAATCCGCAAATGCCTTCCCTCGATCTAATGGCCATGAAGCCCTAACTCATATCTATTTACCTTCTACTTCGTCCGGTTTCGCCCGTCATATCTTACCAACTTTTTTTTCGTACTCTCCGCAAAAGACAGCCAGCAAACTCCCTTTCCTTTTCCTTCAAAAATACCCAAACAATTCTTACACAACCATGCTTCCCGACAAACCTGCTTATCCAACATGAAACCCTAAAAATAAAAAAATGATGCCTAGATCAGTAAAAGGTGGAATGGATGCCAGTCGCTCGTAAAACGCTCGAGACCACTGGTAGTCCGGCTCATGGTATACAACTGAAAGTAAATGGTGCAAAAATCAACTCCGGCTCACCAACACCTTAGCCAACCCCATCCCTTCTTCGGAGGCCCGATATCCCCTTGTGGTATAGGCACCCTCATCCGCTTCCCCTCCATCTCTAGAGGGCTCAACGGCGCCGTCACGGCGTGCCTCACACCCACTCCTGCCTCCGACTTCCTCCTCCGTATCTTCTTCTCGCGCTGCTCTTGACTCTGCCCGCTCCTCCCTGCGTCTCTCCTCGGCATTTGCTCTGCCCTCTCCGTCTCATGTCGCCTTGCCTGCTCGCGCTGATAACGTAGACTCTCCTCCGTCCAGTCAACTGTATACCGCCTGTTATCCCCACGGACCTCCCTCTCTGCAGTAGCCCTCGCATACTCCTCCTCCAGTCGTCGCTGCTCTTCCTCCCGTCGCACCTCAACCACTCGTCGCACAATCAGCCCAAACGTCTCCTCAACATTCACCCGCTCTCGCGCGCTCGTCTCCATAAACCCGCACCCATGCCGCCGCGCCCATTCCAGTCCCTCCCGAGCCGGCACTCGTCGAGAACTCGCCAGGTCAACCTTGTTCCCCGCCACAATCTTGACAGGCTTCAACTCCGACGCCTCGCTCACGACGGTCGTCCCTGTGCCACATCTCGATCGTCCAACCCGCGTTGTACTCCTTGTCAGCGGCTCACTGCGCTCGGTCCGCCGCCGAAGCGCCGTCTCAGCCCTCTCCTCCCGACACTCCCCCTCCACCCGCACCAGCGCCTCAAACCACCCCAGCGCCTCTAGACTCCGGCGGCTCGTAATGTCATATACTAGCACAAACCCATCCGCGTGCAGCGCCTCCTGCGCCCACAGCCCGCGGTATTCCTCCTGCCCTGCCGTGTCCGTAATCGTAATCACATACTCCACGCCGTCCACACGCCGTGTTATGCTGTAGCTATCCTCAATCGTCGGGTCGTATGTCGAGGTGAAGGCGTTACGGACGAGTGATAGCGTTAGCGACGACTTGCCGCTCCCGCCCGCGCCGAACAGTGTTATGGCGATGGGTTGTGGGGAGGGGGCCGGGCCGGACATCGTGGGCCGGGATTTATAGGCTGCTGACGAGATGGGCGTGAAGACGAGAGTGCTGGGCGAACCGCCCGCGTTATGGGCGGCGCTGGTTGTTCAATGATCGAGTATTTCGTGTGTCTCCGCACAAAAAGGTCGTGTTGTTGTGGTCGTATCCCTTGCCGGCTATTTGTAGCTCGGTCGGCGTTAGCTCGGTCGGCGTTAGTTCGTGACAGTCGTGTAAACAGTCGACAAGGCAAATCGTAGCCACTGCGGACGCAATCACGGACACTCGTCTCGATTAATGGCTCGTCGCCGTCGTTCTGGCGATGTGCGTTGGCCACGCGCTGAGATCGTCAAAGGGCTTCTGTCAGGTACTGTGCAGTGCAGTAGCGTGGCGCCGGTGGCTGCAGTATATAGCGGCGCCTTGGTTAGGCTGGCCAGATCGTCGTTGTGCTGTCTAAATTGGGTGTGTTTTTCGTGTTTCGCCTTATGGACATGGTGTGTTGGTGGCCGTGCAATTCTTTGTAGAGCAGGGCGGGTAAAATGTGAAGTGGAATGTGATGAAAATCGTGGGATTCAAAGGTGGGAGAATTGAGTGGTCGCGTTGGGGTAGTAGCAAGGGTCACACAGGGGGGACGGGCGCACAATCGAGGCGAACGTGGGTCGCTGGAGATGTGCGAGGCTGCATATAAATAAGACCTGGGAATGCTAATATATGTATGACAATTGTTGGTTTAGTCTCTGCGCCTAGCTCTGCTATTTTATCTTGTTATCTATTTGTTTACCACGCATCGGATTTATACGGAGCTTGTCCCGCCAGCGTCATTTCTAGAGTCTCCATGGCTTCGTCCATAGCTTCGTCCATAGCTTCGTCGCAGACCCGTTCGGCCGCTCTAGAAGCCGCATCTAGCTCCCCAATTACCTTCTTTGGCCCGAAATTATAGAATTATAGGGATCTTGAAGGCCCCAAGGCGTCAGAAAAAAGAGCGAAAAGGGAAAAAGGGAGGGTTTGATCGGCAGCGTGGGACCCTAAACGGAACCCTGAAGCTGACTTTGCTAATATCGCTTACTCAGCCACCTAAGACACTTCCAAAAAAGAAGGCCAATGGAACAATTTACCCCTGTCAGCCCACGCGAGATGGAAGAAACGTTTGCGGATCCGACGAAGATCTTTGTGGGAAAGCCTCCTTTTTGTGGAAATGGGGAAATGGGGAAATGTCATCTTATACCATGCTATTTGTGCGTATGGGGAACCTACTGCTCTCTCTGGAACCTACTGCTCTCTCGAGGCGGCCAATTCTGCTGCGCACGGCTGCCTATTTGATGCCGGTAACGAGAGAGAGTGGTTCTTTCTCCCAATATGGGGACGATCCTACCGCCCTAGTCAGATATAGAATCCATCAGCGCATGGGTCTGGTGGTCGTCGTGGTGGCACCCGATGGAACAACCTTCCGCGTCTGCATTAGCACCACTCCTAATGTTGGTCACTTAACGACTGATAATGAGGACGGCCAGATCGCGGCCGATCTCTACTATGCAGTACAAACAGAATGCGAACGGCGATGGAGGACAACGTCGCGGTATCAATATCGAGGGCATATTCATGACATATGACAAGGCGCAATCCTTTGAGCACAGCGTGCTGTTGTCCGAAGAAGACGAAATCACTAAGGAGAGCTTTGCCGAATATGATAAGGCGGGTGATAACAAGAGAGACTGTGGATTTGGCGGGAATGTCGTTATACATGCAGTGGGAATTAATGGGGAGAAGCATCTGATTAGTGTCATTAAAGGTCAGCCGATGAATAGTGTTGAACTGGCAGAAGCCGCAGTGCGGATTTCTTGACCGCGGGAATTTTCCTTCAAATTGACGTCAAATTGACTATATCAACGAGCCATTGAGCAGTGATAGGGCTAGCTGGGGCGGGGCAAGGAAGAGCTGATCTGAATCTGCTGGATTGATAATAAATGTAAAGGAAAATCGTTGCGGTGATGAACAGACGACAAGCGTAAAAAGGCAAATATAATTTTGACAATGGCTTGTGACAGATATTTGTCAAGCAATAAGACCATCAATCAGCGAAGCACTGCTGGTTCGCCGTGATCAGCGGATGCAAGAAGGCACACCTGAAGGCGTTGACAGCGGCGCAACGAGAGCTCAAGGGTCGGTTTAACTATATTTCGAAAAGAGTCGCGAGACAGACCCCCAGAACCCGCTCGTTTCGATCCCTGCCTGCGCCTTCTTCTTCTCAACTGGCGCGCCTTCATAATTCCAATCTGCTCCGCCACCTCCCTTCCTCATTTTATCAAACAATCTTTTCCACAAAATAGGCACACTCTGGTCATTAAAAACGGAATACGGCGTAGAAATGTACTACTACCAGCTGTGCCAGTACGAATGACATCGAGGAGCGGGGAATTGGAGAGGTCGCGGAGGACCTCTCCAATTCCCCACTTCTGTTGCGCTTTTCCTACTCGGCTATCCAGGGAAAGGTGTATGAGAAGCGGATGAAGGGGGCGTGCGGCGTGAGAGAGTGCGTTTTGGTTCTAATGGGGGCGTTGTTTCTTGTTTTCCAGCCCATATCCAGCCTATATCCAACAATTTTCTTTTTAGACGCGATAAGACCTTTACTAGGCGCAAGATCGTCCCGACCTGTACCCTGTCAATATTCTGAGGATAACATCACTAGATCCAGATAGGCTGCAGCAGCTACCCGTTGAGATTATCCTTGACATAGTCATGCACTTAGGCTGGGAGCCAGGGGATATCGGGAGTTTTCTTGGGAGCTCCAAGGTAGATGCCTCGTCTCACCCCTGCCCAGCTTCTATCCACCTTACTAACCTATTCGTTACCAGACAATAAGATTGGTCCTGAAGACCCACGAAGAGCACCTCTCTCAACAGTTCGCGTCTCATCTCTACCCAACGTCCATGGACCCCATCCTCGCCCGCCCTTCAGAATATGGGACACCACCACTACAGATTGGACATTACGATTGTACTGTTGGAAGACAAGAAACAGAATATGGGACACCGCCACTACAGATTGTCATGGGGGACCGATCCCAGACCGGACCCGTGGTCTGGTCTGAAGCCAATAACCCACGGTCCCCCACGGGTCTGCCAGGAAACCGGTCACATGATAATAATATTACTATAATATTGTCGAGCACAAATTTGGAGCTTAAGGACTTAATTGAGTAAACTACGGGGGCGAAGCCATATATATACCGCCTAGCGGTATAGTATCCCCCCCCTTGAATGATTGTTAGGTTCCACTATTCCCACTTTTAATACTGCCAAAATTAAGGGGGTCTTAGTGTAATTATGTATGTAAATGTAAATAGTATTGTAATACCTTCAAAATATTTAGTTCTATAGAATCAGCTATGGATATTATAGAGCTTTGAAATCCACAGACGCCTACTACGCCTCGCTTTAAGGCTCCTGCAACTACTCGAGAAGATAGAATTGCAATTCAAACTGTAAAGCATAAGCCTAAGGTCTCACGGGAGTCCAGGGAACCAGGTCAGGAGGCAGGAAGGTATCGTATTCTGTAAGCACAATAGGTCTACGTAGATACATCGACTATTGACTGGAGGCCTTCTTCTGAGGCCTCCAACCCCTTTTATCTATGCACCTTGTGCCCTATTTTACCGAGCCCTATGGGCCGCTTATGAAAGGGACCTCACGTGGTGGCACGTGATGGCCTTCCTTACAATTACCTCCCCTCTTAGAGGGATTGCCCTCAATTCCAAGGTTTCGCAGCTAGGGCTTACTTGCCCTCCTGGCTTGTTTAGACTTTTTGTTTTGACCCGGGTGGTGGACTTGTTTGGGTGTGTGCTTGGTGTGCTGGTCCCGTGACCCCCCTTGGTTGTGGGTTGCCGCGGCCACCCCCTTTGTTATGGGTCTCGCGCCAAACTCCTACTTCCTTCCAAACTTCCTATCGAACTTCCTGCCACCTTCATCCTCAACATCACCTTACTTCACCTTTCGCCCTCGATCTTAGTCCCAACCTTTGGGGCCTACACAGTTGCTTGTTTCTTTAAGGTAATCACTTCCTTTCCACCTGGATTGCAGGAGCTTATCGTTACGGATAGATCTGACATCATCCAACCCTCATCATGGCTCCCAAGCTGAAGGGGAAGGCTCCAGTTACTACACCTCGCAAGCGACCAGTGGCCCAGATGTCCAGCTCTCCCGAGTCGCAGGCGCCCGCCACGCCTGTTCCATCTGTTGTCACCTCCTCCACATCACGTTCTCGCACTATCCATCCGTATCGTTTGCCTGAAGTTGAGGACGAAGCTGAGGATCTCGAAGGCTCCGTCGTTCCTGAGTCTGAGGCTCCAAAGGATGAGCGCACCGTGCTTGGGTGGAAGGTCGCTGCCCGCTGTGAGGTTCCTGATTCTGCAGGACGCCTTCGCGCTGGCTCCTGCCCGTGCTGCATGAAGTGTGCGCACACGTATTACAACTTCCCAGGCCAGATGTGCTGGGTCCCTTCCGGCATGGCCAAGTGTGCAGACTGCCTTCGGGGCAACCACGCGTGCGTTCCAGTAAGGGACTCCCTCCTCATTGTTTGTTTGTACTAATGGTTGGGTAGGCTGCTGCCCAGCTTGGCGCCGAGTTGGAGGCCCTCCAGCTTGCGGCTGACGCTCTCCTGAACTGTTGGGCCGACGACGAAGATGCTGGCCTTGCTGCTGATTCTGAGGCTACTGTCCAGGCCATCAGCGCCCTTCACGCTGCCCAGCGCGTATACAGCAATGCCACCAAGGCCAATACCATTACGTTGTCCCATCCTTGCTTCCTTGTGCTTGCTTCCTGTGATATGCCTCGATTAACGATAGCCCTACATCATGTTTTGGCACCCATTGGTCGTCTGCGGCTGTATAACCAGCCCATCTAATAAGGTACTCCTCTCTCTGGCCCCTGCCTCGTTTGATTATCCTGTGGTCTAGGACCGCTTCTACTTGGTATTCTTCCTCACCGTCCACAATTTCTTGGCTAGGTGGAGGGTTGGGTTCCTCTGTGTTTTTCCAATACCTTTCTAGTAAGGACACGTGGAACACGTTGTGGATCGCCTTATACCTTGGCGGTAGCTTCAACTGGTAAGCCTGCTTACCGATGCGCTGGGTGATCTCATACGGGCCAAGCCAGCGGTGCCCAAGCTTCCTACTTGGCTGGGTGGTTCTGATATTCTTGGCCGAAAGCCATACTTTCTCTCCTACCACGTACTGCATTGGCTTGTGCAGCTTGTTGTAGCCTCGTATTTGGGCTTCCTTCGTCTGTTTCCACGCCTCTTCGAGCTCCTGTCGCAATTCTAGGATCAGGTTGATGCGATCTTTCGCGACTGGCACTTCCCTTCTGGTGGGGTCGTCCTCGATCCCTTGTCTTAGGTCTATATTGATGCCGTATCGGGCCTGGTTTGGCGACATCTGGATGGAATCGTGGAAGGCGTTATTGTAGGTCAATTCCGCGAAGTGGAGGAGTTCCACCCAGTTGTCTTGGTGTTGATTACAGTGAATCCGCAAGTAGGCTTCGATATTCTGATTCTGCCTCTCGGTCTGGCTGTCGGATTGAGGGTGGAAAGCGGTCGATAGGTTACGCCTTACTTTGAGGTGAAAACAGAACGCTGACCAGAAGTGACAGGTGAACACACTCCCTCGATCCGTGATTATTTCGGCTGGGATTCCAAAGTCCTTTACCCAGAACGCAAGGAAGAGGCGCGACAGCTCTGGGGCCGTGATGGTTTTCCTACAGGGTATATATTTGGACACCTTAGTATAACGATCAACAATCACAAGGATGGAGTCTGAAGCCTTGCCTTGATCCGCCCCTACGCTTGGGGGCAGATCCGTGATAAAGTCCATACTTATGGATTCAAATGGTTTCGAGGGCATTCTTAAGGCCTGCATTTCACCATATGGCCTATGCTGCACGGGCTTGATGCGCTGGCATCTATCGCAGCCCCGTACGTACTCCCTGGTTTCCTCGCTGAGGCCAGGCCAGTAGTATTTGCGTTGGATCAACTCTTGGGTTTTCTTATATCCAAAATGCCCGGCTAGTGGGTCATCATGGCAAATCTTGAAAATTTCCATCCGCACTGCCTGGTTGGGAGGTACATATACCGCTCCCTTGAAGCGTAGGATGCCTGCATCATCTACTCTCCAATCTGAAGAGCCCTTTGCTCGCGCCAACCCAATATCCTTGGCCCTTTTAACAGCTAACTCGTCAGTCGCCTGGAGGGTTTTGATCAAGTCTATTAGGGGTTCAGAAGCAGCACTATAGGCGCTCTCTCTCTTGGCTACAGCAGCTACTGCAACCCGAGGGACAACGAGACCTGGACTCTTGGTGTCCTTACTATGGTCATCGCCCAGTCTTACGCTGCTAGCGTTTGCCTTCCTACGCTGTAGGTTAGGTTCTCCTATCTGAAAGCCTTCTTGGCTTGTTATCATCCGACTTATCTGCGGGATACCTCCTGCCTGCATGGCTTCTCGGAGCTTGTTCTTAAGGGTCAGTAGCATCACATTCTGGCTACCCTTTTCACCCTCATAGTCTGGTTGTAACGCTGACTTCTAAACGATAGAAGACACAGAGGTTCTCTTGCGTAAAGGTTTACTTATCAGAGGAGGCAGGGGATCAGACACAAAGGCTTCAAGTAACACGTTACTAGTATATAACAAATACTGTATTGAGTTGAGCACGAAGCTCCTATCTAAGGAAATACTATCTACTTATATAGTGGCGTCGTGCCTAGTGGACTCTTGGGAACTCACTCGAGTCCTCGGAGTCCTGGACTCTTAGGACTCTTCTCATTATCCTGCGAGTCCATCACGTGCCTAGTGGACT